TATATATATATGTTTACAATATGTATATAATATATAGAAAGGACCATAAACGATTAAATTATTGTTATAAATGAATCGATCAAAATATTTGTTGTCACACGTGATATGATTTCAAAAGATTTTCAAAACAATGATATTTATCTTTTCTTTCTTTTCTATACTTCTTTTCTTGAAAATTTTTAATATTACATTTTCGAGATTTTTATAATAGGATATAACTCTATAGCTCTTTTTGTTAATAAAAAATATTGAGATAAATTCAAAAACATTTTTTTCATTTAATACAAATAAAAATTATAGAGTTATATATAAAAATTAAAAATGATATTGCAAACTTTTCTATGAAAAAAGTACTAAGAAAAATTATCTTTGAAAATTGAAATTCCTTGAAATCAATAACAAAAGAGATTTTAATCGATTTAATAATAACGAAAATTACGTTAAGTGGTCCACTCTGTATATGGTGAATGTTTTACAAGAAAAAGTGAATGAAGTAGTAGAGCATAACAAAAGGAATGTTTTCAGTTTAATAAAACATATTTAATTATACTTTATTTTTTGGTAATAGAGTTTTAAAAAATGAAAATTTTGTATGTATACTATGAGTAACTTGCCAAACATTAACTATTTTTGTGAGATTATGATTAAGTTTCGAAAATTAAATTGTATAATTTGCAGTTTAGAAACTATATTTACAATGTTATTAATTTTTTTACAAATGAGTGAATATACATGAAAGAAAACAAAATTATTTCTAACAATTGATATAATAGTATTTTTAATAATTGCAATTTTTCTAAACATAAAGATAATTTTTAAATGAAATTAATTTTTTAAATAAAGTGCAGCTTATTCTCTTTACATAGATATATATATAAATTAAACTATGTGTCAAAATATTTAAAAAATGACTATGATTATTTTTATCTGTGACTTTGTATAATAAAATCATTATATCGTATCTATTATTCTTTTAATCTATTATTTCATATTTATTATATCTATTTAATACGTGTCAAAATATTTAAAAAATGACTATGATTATTTTTATTTGTGACTTTGTATAATAAAATCATTATATCGTATCTATTTATTATTTCATATCTATTATATCTATTAAAAATTTGTTGTTATTAATTATTATTTTCTTTTATTTATTATGATTTTAATATAAAAATTTATTTTCTAGCAAAATATTATGTTACATTATTTAATATATCATGTTATTTAAAATTGTAAAACTTCTTTTTTTTCATATTTTTCCATATGTATATATATTTATCTACCAAATATGAAAATATAAAAATATTTAGCAGCTAATAACTATATATCATTTCTTGTTTTTATATTATAATATTAATTGTGATTATTATTATCATTATTATTGTTAGATTTAATTCTTTTAAGAAAACTTACAAATTTCATTTTAAATAATTATTTACATTTATTATTTATTCTGAAAATATAAATCCTTTTTTAAAGCTTTTTAAAGAATTAAAATATTTATTCGAAAAATTAAGTTCTATTACCGAAGAAAATAGATTATTAGATTATTAGATCAATAATTTTCCAATAGCATTCCAAACAAAATCATTATTTTCGTTTTTTTCTTTTTCTTTTTGATAATCTAAATTTCTTATTCAGATGAATTCTTATTCAAGTTGATTTACAAATAAAATATCGTCGCTTCTCAAAAAAATATATTCATTTTCCTGTAAAATTATACCATTTTAACTCAGTTTTTCATAATTTAAAAAAGAATTTTTTATAGAAAATAGAATTAAATTTAAATTAATTAAAAAAAGAAATTAAAAATAAAATTTTTTATAATTTATAGTATTATATATTAAATTTCGAATTGCTAATTGAATGAAAAAATTTAGATAATAATCAGTTAATGAACAATTTATTTACATCTTTTTTGAAAGCCTTTTGTAAAATCATACAATTAATTTATTTCATATTATAATAAAATATTTTATCAAAATGATTGAATGTGTTTCAGTGGTTTGAAAGAAAATGAAAATATGAATTTCTTATAAGAATAAAACTGGATTGTGTATTTCTTGAAATGTAATATTATTAAAATGCATTATATGTTTTCAATGATTTAACTTCTATTATTAAAATAAAAAAAATCATACATTATGGAAAATAATATTGCAATAAAGATCAATATTTAATTCTAAATAAATTAATATATAAAATTATAATTTTGTAGTTTGTCAGTTATTTTATTTTATATTATATTAAAATTATAAAGTTATAAAAAATTCTAAGATAATTTTTTAAATCAATTTTGACTTTTTTCAATAAAAATAAAATTCGTCAAATATAAATTTAAAAGTAAAACAATTAATTATAATCTTTGATTGATAGATAACATATCTATCAAATAAATTAATATATTATATATAATATTAAAAAATATTGTAATTAATATTACTTAAAATATTGTTTATATAATTTTAATGCAAGAACAAAATCTAATAAATATAGTATGCTTACTAAAAAGATATACAATTTTCTGTTAAAAGCTTTACTATAATCTCACCGAAATAGCTATATTCTTTATGTTGCTTACCGATTGACATCCGACTATTTTTCATATCTTTATTACTAAAAAATAAAATAAAATCCTATATTACAGTTTATTAGAACACTTATGAAAATGATGTAAACCTGAAAAATTATTAAGAGATTATTATAATTTTAAAAAATATTATTATTCTTTCATTTGAAAGAAAACTATAAAAAAAATATTGTTAAATATTCATCATATAATTTTTTTAAAATTATATGCCATAAGATTTCTATTTGAATTATTTCTATTTTACATTATATCAACAACTTAAAATTTTTAACAAGACTTTTCGAAATTTCTATTTTTTTATTTTTAAAATTTAAATTAGAATATCATAGAAAAAACACATAGAAATAACGTACAATTAATTCATTATCTTTTTATAATTCTCATAAATAATTTTTATAAATTTTTGCAATATTTCATACTTCCTATAAATATAAACTTTTAATCCATTATTTCATTATTACAATTTATTAGAAATATTGTAGAATATATATATATATATTATATAAAAACCAGATGAATTCATTAATTATAAATAAATTTTTTATGAATTATTTAATAAATTCTATTACACAAAAATTAAAAAACAAATTCAATAATAAAAACAAACAGATTTTTATAAGTAAATTTTACAAGTTGTACGATTAATCCATCTCTTGAAATTATAAAATTCTAATAAAAAAATCTACAACTTATAATTTAAAACATATTTTGTTATTATCATCAATTAGTAAATCATCAAACAAAAGGATTCGTGTATTATAATACACTGGTAAAAATATATACACATCATATACATTTATTATTCAAAAAACATTCCTTTCGTCATCCTTACCTCAATCTACTTCAGGGACCCCTATGTCTAAATCCATTTGTACCTACGCTATAATACACGATACACAAGAAACACGTACGCGCGCTCGTGTGTAAGACCCGTGTAGTCACGGCGCAAGTAAATAGATGTGCAATAATCGGCCGATAAAAGAGAACAGAAGTAAAAAGAAAAACAAAAAAAAGAACGACCAAGATAAACAAGGATAAAAGCAAAGTATCGAAGTTGCGTGCACACGGAGTCGACTCTGTTTGAAACGGGTCGAAACGATAAGAAGAAAAACCGATAACGCTTGTGTATCGGAACGGCCTCCGCGATCTTTAGTGTCACCTGGTTGATGCAAGAAAGTAAACACTCTCTTCTTCGGCTTCGAGGGCTGCCTCTTATCTGGCCGCTATTCAATTTTCATCGTGTGAAGTAGCATGGCCACTAAAACAATGTCGACCGTTGCGACAAAAACCGTTTAATAGAGACTCGCCCGATACTAGCGCCACTGTATTCGTACTACGACTTGTTACAACGAGATGCGCACCCATCGTACAACCATTGTGCGTACGTGTGTGTATAGATTGGTAAGCATCCAGTCGATACAAACATCTCTTTTTTCGCCATTCAAATCAGATATTCTTTCAGTTGTTTCTGATATTCTTTTCATTCATCGATTTAAATCAATTTGTAAAAGGCCAATTCTCGCTGCCAAATGGATTGTTTTTCGAAGTTCCGCAAGGATAAAGAAATTTGTCAAAAAC